TTGACTTGATTATTGTGTGCCTTTGGAATAGGTTTTTAATGGTAAACTCTATTGTTGATGCTAACATGACATGCAAGAGGCCTTTTAATGTACTCTGCAGTATGAGAAATTTGAAGACCAGGAGCTTTTCTAAGAAGACCATTTACAAAAGGGAAGTATTTCTTAGAAGGAATGTAGAAGGGTATTCAGAGTACCTGAATACCCTTGTCTTGGCCAGCCTTTGTTTTAACCCAGAGGAAAGAAAAAGAATGGAACCTGTATTGAGATAGCCCAGGGTCTGCCTTGAAAGCTGCCCGTGCTTTTCAAGAGGACAAATAGTAGGGTAGTTTAATGTGGGATTTATAAACATGGACTTTGGAAACACTGGGTGTGATCAAATTCTGATTATGCCACATAATCTGATCACATGAGCTTAGGCAATTCATGTAACTTTGTCTGCATTTCCTCAACTATAAAGTAATGATTACCATGATGATCATAAAATATCAACTTTTTATAGATTGCTGTGAGGGTTAAATGAGTGCCTGACACATACTAACCGTCATGCAACATTTTAAAAAATAGTTATTTCTTTTCAATATTTGAAAGGTAGAAAGAGTTGCAGAGAGGGAGAGGAAGAGAAAAAGTCATCCATCCACAAGTTGACATCACATGGAGCCCACATTGGATGCAGGGGCTCAAGTATTAGGACCAGCTACTTTTGCTTTCCCAGGTACCTGAGGAGGAAGCTGGATTAGAAGAAGAGTGCCCGGGCCTGGCACAGTAGCTAGTCCTAGTGGCTAAAGTCCTCACCTTGCATGTACCAGGATACCATATGGGCAATGAATGGTTCATATCCTGGCTACTCCACTTCCCATCCAGCTCCCTTTCTGTGCCTGGGAAGGCAGTTGAGGACAACCCAAGACCTTAGAGCACTGCACCTGTGTGAGAGACCTGAAGTAAGTTCCTCGCTCCTGGCTTTGGATCAGCTTAGACCCAGCTGTTACAGCCATTTTGGGAGTGAAACAGCAGACGGAAAATCTTTCTCTTCTCTGTATATCTGCCTTTCCAACAGAAATAAATAGGGCCGCACAGTAGCCTAGTAGTTAAGTCTTTGCCTTGCATGTGTAGGATCCCATACAGGCGCTGGCTCTTACTCTGGCTGCTCCACTTCCCCTTCCAGCTCCCTGCTTGTGGCCTGCAAAGGCTGTGGAGGATGGCCCAAGGCGTTGGCTCCCTGCAACCATGTGAGAGACCTGGAAGAGGCTGCTGGCTTCTGACTTCATATTGGTTCAGTTCCAGCCATTGTGGCCATTGGTGAATGAATCCTCAGATGGAAGATTTTTCTCTGTCTCTCCTCTCTGTAGATCTGACTTTGCAATAGAAATAAATAAAAAGAAAAAAATGTGCAATGACCAGGACTTGGATGCATATCCATGTAAGAGATCCGGCATTGTAATATTAGCTTAATGCACTTCACCACAACACTGGTCCTAGATTTTTCTTTTTAAGATTTATTTGGGGCCCGGCAGCATAGCCTAGCAGCTAAAGTCCTCGCCTTGAACGCACCCGGATCCCATATGGGTGCCAGTTCTAATCCCGGCAGCTCCACTTCCCATCCAGCTCCCTGCTTGTGTCCTGGGAAAGCAGTCGAGGACGGCCCAAAGCTTTGGGACCCTGCACCCATGTGGGATACCTGGAAGAAGTTCCTGGATCCTGGCTTTGGATCAGCATAGCATCAGCTGTTGCACTCACTTGTGGGGTGAACCATCAAACGAGAGATCTTCCTCTCTGTCTTTCCTCCTCTCTGTATATCTGCCTTTTCAATAAATACATAAATCTTTTTTAAAAAATAATTCACTCCCTATGTGACTGCAACGGCTGGTACTGTGCTGATCCAAAGCCAGGAGCCAGGAACTTCCTCCAGGTCTCCCATGTGGGTACAGGGGCCCAAGGTTCTGTGCAGTCCTCGACTGCTTTCTGAGGCCACAAGCAGGGAGCTGGATGGGAAGAGGAGGTGCCAGGATTAAAACCAGTGCATTCAAGGCAAGGACTTACGCCGCTAGGCCACCATGCCAGGCCCCTAGATTTTTTTTTAAAGATTTATTTTTATTATTTTTTTATTGGAAAGACAGATATACAGAGAGGAGAGACAGAGAGGAAGATCTTCCGTCCCATGATTCACTCCCCAAGTGAGCGCAACGGGCCGATACTATGCCGATCCGAAGCCAGGAGCCTCTTCCAGGTCTCCCACGCGGGTGCAGGGTCCCAAAGCTTTGGGCTGTCCTCAACTGCTGATTTCCCAGGCCACAGGCAGGGAGCTGGAAGGGAAATGGGGCTGCCGGGATAGAACTGGCGCCCCTATGGCATCCCGGGCGTGCAAGGCGAGGACCTTAACCACTGCGCCACCCTGCCGGGCCCGATTTTTTTTTTTTAAGATTATTTTTTGAAAGAATGACAGGCAGGGAAGACCAACTCTTTCATTCTTTGGTTTTCCCTTTAAATGGTCCCCAGGGCCAGGCTGAAGCGAGCTGAGACTACAAGCCAGCTAAAATCCTGGCCACACTCTTCAAGGGGCTTGCATGGGAACTGCCCAGCTAGTTTCTAAACAGCTCACCAATGCAGAATGTCTTACCTGCAGTTTCCGGGCGAGACAAGGAGGGGTCAGAGAACTCTTAAAAAACCTTGGGCTCTTCCTAAAACCCTAGTGTCTTTTTTTTTTTTTTTTCCAGAGGCATCTCATCTCCGGGGAGGTGCTTTTCCCTTCCAACTTTTCCTGTTTGCTGTTCACTTCACAAATGAAACTCCTGCAGATGATTCCCGACTTTTTATTTCTATACTAAGCTGAGGAAAGGACCCTCTGAACTTTTCTGGTAACATCTGCCACCCAGAACATCCTCCTGGTAGTCCACATGGGTGGGCGTGGCTCCAGTCCTTGAGCCACCTGCCTGTTGGGTTCTCTGGATCTCATTAGCAGGAAGCTAGAATGGAAGCAAAGCAGTTGCACTCCCAGCACTCAGCTGTGGGATGCCAGTGTTACAAGCACCAGTTTTATCTGTATCCTGCGCCTATGTAAGATTTATTAGGTGGTGGTTGGAAATGACAGCTTTAAAGATTAGAGTTTAATATAGGAGGTGTTTTATAATAAACAGTATTGCTCAGATTAGGAATAGGATATCCCCAGAACTAATGTAGTCAGTCCCTGGCCCTTGGTGGCTAAAGGTGATTTTTTGTTTGTGTTTTTTTTTTCCTCTGTAAGACTTATTTTTAAGGAATATTTACAGAGAGAAGAGACAGATTTCCCATCTGTTGGTTCACTCCTTAAGTAAATTCAACTGCTAGAGCTGAGCCGATCTGAAGCCAGGGTCGTCTTCTGGGTTTCCAATGTGGGTGCAGGGTCTCAAGGCTTTGGGCCATCTTCCACTGCTTCCCTAGGCCACAAGCAGGGAACCAGATGGGAAGTGGAGCAACTGGGATATCAGCTGGCACCCAAATGAGATCCCTGCACAGGCAAGGTGATGATGTAGCCACTGGTCATCACTCCAGGCCCTAAGTATTTTCTTTTGAAGATTAGTTATTAAAAATATAAAGGGATGATACTCTTTCGGCTGTACCTTCAGACCAGAGACTGTCTCCCCATGAAACTGTTGAACTTATCTGCACAATAAGATGCTGGACTCTATGTTTGTAGATGCTTGCAAGGAAAAAAAATCTCAACTGAATTTGATCTGTGGTAATGCAACAAGATGGAAGAATCCACCATGTGGGGGGGAGCAGGTTTTGGGGAGGGGAGGGGGAATCCCAGTGCCTGTAAAACTGTGTCTCATGATGCAATGTAATAAAAAAAATAATAATTAAAAAAATATATAAAGGGAATTGTTTCTTGACCTTTTGGGTAAGATTAAGTGTAAAATATATATATATGGGGGCCTGGTGTGATGGCGTAAAGCTAAAGTCCTTGCCTTGGGCATGCCAGGTTCCCATATGGGTACCGGTTCTAATCCTGGTGGTCCTGCTTCCCTGCCTACATGGGATACCAGCAAATGCATGATGAGGACCCTAGCTGCTAGGCTACAGCATCAGGCCCAAAAATTTAAAATTTCTTTAATGTACATTTATTTATTTGAAAGCAGAAAAATGGAGAGAGTCTATTCACTGGTTCACTCACCACATTCTAGGTACAGCCAGACAGGCCCCAGGCTGAAGCCAGGAGCCAGTGACTGCATCTGGGTCTCCTACCCAAGTGTCAGCGACACGATTACTTGAACCATGATGCTGTCCCCACTGCACCGGGAGGAAGCAGGAGTCAACAGTGGGTTTTGCAGAGTGGCTCAGAGGACAGCTCTCAGGCTATTGGGGAGGTCTGTGGACTTCCACCACTCACCCAGGGGTCTGCTAGTTGCAGCCCGCCGCCACTCCTGGAACCATGGACAGAGGAGCATGGCCTCACAGCTAGGGGTAGATGGTAAAGACAGAAGGGACCATGGCCGGCGCGGTAGGCTAGTGGCTGAAGTCCTCGCCTTGCACGCGCCAAGATCCCTTATGGCGCCCGGTTCTAAATCCTGGTCTGGGAAAGCAGTCGAGGACGGACCAAGAGTGAGACGAATAGTGCAAACGGCAGGTCAGCGACCAGGCTCTTCCGGAGTCGGACAAAAAGATTAGAATCAATAAATTTTCTACCTAGAAGTAGAAACCCTGGGACCGGAGAGCGAAACTATTAGCCTGTGGTTTAGCCTAATAGTGGCTTAAAATAACCGCCAGGCCTCTGCATACCTACCGCGGAAGTAACCTCACATTCCAATAAAGGTATCACAAAAGAATTTCTCCCTATTACCTCAACCCAATGACCCAATCCAACCAAAAGGAGATCGAAAGACTTGGGCCGGCGCTATTGATGGAAATACTTTCCAACCAATTGACGGCGGGCGCACAGCGCGCGCGTGCGAGCCCGTGTCCAATCAGCTCTCAGTATTAGCGGCAGGGGCGGGGCTCGTTGGAGGGGCCCGCTGAAGGGTTGGCGGATCTGAGAAGGAGCGAAGATGGCGGAGTGATGCGCCCCGGGGTCCGGCGGCCTCCCGCCCCGGGGCTGCACCGCCCTTGGGAGGCCCAGGGGAACCGTCGGACCGTGTGAGGTGAGCTGAGATGCCGACGACGGGAAGCGAGCCGACGGTGTGGAGGTCGGTGCGGCCTAGCGTGGTGGGGGACGTGAGTGCCCTGGAGGCGGCGGCAGCGCGGCCTCCAACCGGGTGCGGCCCCCAGTCGGGCGGTGTCCAGTCCCGGGAACCGTGTCCGGCCGCACCTGCTTTCTGGGCGTACGACCCGCCGCCTCCTCAGCCGCCGCTCCCTCCGAGCCCCGGGGCCGTTCCTCAGGCTGCCCTTGTTCGCCACGTTGGCTAGGGATCACACCCGCGCGGGCCCGTACCTGGCACCTGCTGCGTCAGCCGCGGTTGTATTTTCTGTAGAATAGCTTTGTTTTGTGGACTGAATCAGGTCCTGTGCCCGCTCTTGCCCCCAGACTCGTGGATTTCCCCCGCCGTTGACCTTGAGGGGTGGTGCGGTGAGTTATCCCCAACATTTCCACTGAGCTTGGTTTGTCGCCAACACCCTCGCGCATCCTGGTTCCCCTGCCCACCTCCCAGACTTAGGGTCGGATGGGCAGCTTTGCCCCTGATGGCCTGTGGCGCATTCATTTCTGCCAGCTCCAGGTCTGTGCAGAATTTTCGGCTGTTGGTTTCCCACACAGCACTGAAGGAGTGCTTGTTTTTACTGGGCGAGAAGTTGTTTTGTGGAAATTTGTGTATTACAGTAGAACTGCAGACGATCTTTATTTATTTACGTTCCTGTTTAATTGTATATGGAGTATCTCTTTGTAATTTTTTTCTTTTTAATATTGTTTACGTAATTTAGAGGGATGCACGCCCATGTGGGCTTCCATGTAATTCGGATTTTAATACCCCTCATTCAATCACACAGTTGAAATCTAGGAAAGTTTCTGTAATTAGGTTTCTGCATTAGTTAGGCCTGTTTAAAACTCAGGCACTTTAGTTGGGTCCAGTGCACATGGACAAAATACATAAATTTTTTTGGTAGGTCATATATACTCGTTTTTGGCCCTGAATTAGTGTATGGATTGTTTTTAAAGGTTTGTTTATTTGAAGTGTTAGAGAAAAGGGGAGAGACAGAGAAATCTCCCATCTGCTGGCTCACTCCCTGAGACCCCAGGTTAGGCCAGGCTAAAGCCAGGAGTTTCTTCCAGGCCTCCCCAGTTTGCGGCAGGGGCCCAAACACTTTTTGCTGTCCTCCACTGTTTTGTCCAGGCCATCAGAGGGAGCTGAACATTTTTCTTCCCTATCTTAAAGTCTGGAGTGACTCTAAAGACCTATAATCCCCCTGATACTTTATACACAATTAGACATTCTTGTTGGAATAGAGGCCATATTATCATCAGAATCTCAGCGGAGTGTGTTTTATACAAGTTTGACAACTGAAGTACAAAGAGTAAAAAATTTCAAGATTTAATGACAATTCAGATAGAGTAATTTCTTTCTGGTTGTTCCTATTGAGTAATTTCTGACAGTGATCTCTTTCGCAAAAGTAGCTTGATTTGTTTGAGTAAGATTGTACACCAGTGCATATAATACAGGTCTGTGTTGTTACTTTACTGTTTTTTCATTTTCAGATTCCTTACAGGAAGAACATCTCTTGAGATTTAGGTGCTTTTCATTCATCTCAAAAGCAAAATTCTGAACTCAGGATTTGGCAAGTAAGTAATAGTGAACTCACCATTCTAAACTCTACTTCAGTGGCTTGATAATTCTAGAAAGGTGTGGGTGTTTATCCTACTGGTTTTCCTGCTTCTCACCTAGTTCCTTGAGTGGATTTTCAGTCGCCACTTCCCGTGCAGGCTGTGAGAGGCAATTGTTGACCCCAGTAATTGGGTTCCTGCTACCCGTCATGAGAAACCTGAATGGAGACCCTATCACATAAAGGTTTTTTTTTTTTTTTTAGATTAATTTACTTTTATTGCAAAGTCAGATATCTATATATCTATATATATATAGAGAGAGAGAGAGAAATATCTTCACTCCCCAAATAACTGCAACAGCTGGTGCTGTGTTGATCCGAAGCCAGGAGCTCTTCTGGGTCTCCCATGCAGGTGCAGGGTCCCAAGGCTTTGGGCTGTCCTCGACTGCTTTCCCAGGAGACAAGCAGGGAGCTGGATGGGAAGTGGAGCTGCCGGGATTAGAACCGGCGCCCCTATGGGAGGTGAGGACTTTAGCCGCTAGGCCACACTGCCGGGCCCACAGTTTGGCATTTTTAAAAGATTTCTTTATTTATTTATTGGAAGAACAGAATTATACAGAGAAAGAGTGAATTTTCCATCCATTGGTTCACTCCCCAAATTGATGCAGAAGTCAGGAGCCAAGAGCTTTTCTTAAGTCTCCCGTGTGGATGCAGGGGCCTAAGTATGTGGGCCATCTTCCACCACTTTTGTAAGCACATTAGCAGGGAATTTGACCAGAAGAGGAACAGTGAGACTCAAACCAGCACCCATATGGGATGCCAGCCATGCTGGCCCCATGGACATTTTATTTTACAACAGTGTCTCTTCCAAAATACTCTGTTAGCTCATTCAGAGCTGCCTGACCTAATGTTTGTATTTTTATTTCTTTGTATTTTTAGGTATTTCTGTGTTGAACTACTCGAGTGGGTAGTACTGCTTCTTTTATCCAACCACTTTCCCTCTTCCTGAGATGTGGGTATCTTCTGCACGTGTCACCTCCACGATCGGGGATGGAAAAGACTGCTTTTGTTCCACCTTGCAAATTGAACAGAAAACCCCTCGGTGTGCTGCTATCCTGATGGCTTCCCCAGTAAGAGAGAAGCAACTGACTCAAGTCTTCTCCTGCAGTCTGCCTAATTTGGGGGAAATGGTTTAACATGCTAAAGGATATTTAATTTGAAACAGGTGGCTTAGATGGTGGTGGTTATGAATTCTTTACGTTTTGTTCCAAACAAGAAAACGAGCAAGTACAGATGATTTCTGGGCTTTTGCAATTGTCTTCCAGTTTTAGCCACTAGTGTGCTAAGCATATTTGAGACTGCAGCGGTATATTCCAAAATCACCATTCTAGTTTAAAATTAAGTGAAGTTAAAAAATGATTTGTTTGTATATTTGAATCGTGGCTCATCCTGTGACATTAATCCCCTGTGAAAGTTCAAAGGTCAGGTTTTCCTGGTAAAGCAGCATGAAGATGGTACATTGAGGTTCATGTCATGAGTGAAGAAACCATCAGAGCTTTGCTTAAAATACACATTTTCACATGCGTTAACTACATTTTTGTGTAAGAAGAGGGATTTTTCTCCTAGAGACGAAATTGTTGATTTCTTTCTTGGAAGTCTTTGGACATTTGGTTTTTAAAAAAAAATGTATTTTCATTTCTCTAAGGAAGAACCATGTTGTGCAATGAAGGAATGATTGGACTTAGTTGAAAAGATGTTGAAAGAAAGCAAAAGGTTTGTGTGATGACACCCTATTCACCTCGCTAGATGGGAGGCTGCTGTGTTACAAATTCATCCCTTTTTTCCTGGACTAACAGCACATGGAAACTTTGTGTTACTACAGCTAGAAGAAATTGACATAAGTGATTTCTCAGTTCAGAAGATGTGATGGACTCTGGCATAACCTGCCTTCAGCTTTGGACATAGAGTAATGAGAACAAAGTTTCCATGTACTTCCTTTTTCCTAAGGTGGGGTGGGAGGGGAGGTGTCTTAAGTAGCTCTAGCTGACAGTATGACATTTTACCATAGATCTTGCCTTTTTTTTTTATAAAAGCCTAGATGACCCTTTTCTGTCAGCTCATGATGGGTACCTGGATGTTTGATTGACTTTTCTCAGTGGTAAGTGTAACATGATGTGGAGGAGACTGGGGCTCAGGTGTCTTTCCCCAGTGGAAAGTGAACTCAGAGAATCTCAGAAGCACTGTTCCCGCGTTTGTGATTAGGCTGTGGTAAATTTAGAAGAACTGGGTCTTCCTTTCTTTCCTCCTTAACGATTACAGTGAGTGACAAGCAACTACGGGATGCTACCTCCCACACCAACACAAGACCACTGTGCTAGTTCTTAGAGCTGTACCCAAGAGTGGATCCTTTGCTTATTGTTGTTTGTGAGTGAAGAGAGTTTTGAATTTTCTTAGATGAAATGTAAGTACAGGTAGTGGTGGTGGTGTTTTCTGAATGTCCACCCAGAGCCTTGTATGCAGTGATGCTAGAAACCTGGGGCAGGGTTGTCAAATTTGAACATGATAGAAATGACCAAAATAGGAAATGTTGAGCCCTCGAGTAATTTGATTGGTAAGTCAGTCTGAGTTGGGATGAACTTTTTAGCAAAATAAATAGTATAGGTAAAATCTAATTTAATTGTGGGCAATTACTGAGGGTAAAATGTAGCAGACATAACTTTGGTTAAAGGTTCTTATACTTTTCTCCTAAGTGATGCTTTCCTTGTAGTAGTTTCAGTATTGCAAATGAGATGGAGCCTGTATACATAGGTTCCACTGGTGCGTTGAGAATTTTGGATCCTGGAGAGTTTGTACCTTCTTGTGGTCTTACCCATCTTCTCATGTCCTTACCACATCTTTGTGCATAGATTCCTTTGGCAGGGCATATCGGCATCCATCAGCCAGTGCTGATGCACCTGTTTCGCCAGGTACCAGACTTTGCCTCTGCAGATGCTTTCTGCGCTTCACCTCACAGCTCAGAGAACTAGTGTGTTTAAATGCTCTTTCAGATTGTTCCTGCATCTCCCATGGTTGATACCAGGTAGTAGTTAACAAAATCGGTATATTCCAGTTGTAGTTACCCAGTGTTTACCTAACTCATCTGGGGTTCTTTTTTGGGGGAGGGGATCGAATTTACTTCTCTTAATGGCAAAAGCTGTAATCTTAGGCAGGGCTGTGCCTCATGCTGTAGCTATGCCTCCTTTTTCTTTGCTCATCCATATTAGCTAGCAGTTTTTCTTTTGAAAAGTAAACAAAAACGGGATATGTGCAATAGAAATATATATATGTATATTTTAATACTTGTGGACAAATGTTACAAGTTGTTTAAGAACAACAAAATCACCAATGTCTTCCATTTTGAGATGTGTATAGTTTTGTAAGCATTAGTGCTTGGTAGCATATTGTAGTGCCATGTTAGGGGTTAGTAGTGCATGAGCCTAGTAATAATTTTAAACTTCAGGATGAATTATTGATAATAACCAATAGTGTAGAAAGAGTAGATTAAATAGATCTTTTATTGTTAATATCTGAATCTGTGATATTCTCCCTGGGGAAAAGAGTTTAAGGCCAAAAAGACTCATTTATAAATAGAAATAGGGGTTTGCAACTTGAAATACTTTGAGGATATTTTTTTATGAGGTAGCTGGAAACCAGCTGCCTTTGTATCTTGTGAAACCTCAAATCTAAATGAGGCCCCGTTTGATGATTCTGCTCTATTAGTTTGAAATGAGCTTGTTCTCACATTGTATGTTTTGGGCTCATTATTTTTCACTCCATGTACATCAGAAACTTTTATATTTTGCATGTCTTATTGAGATGCTATGTTAATTGCTTCGATTGCTTTCTAATTGCAGGCCATTTATATTTCCTCTCTGTAGCATGTGTGTTAATGGACAAATGCAGTCCATAGTTTGGACTGTCCTAAAGTATTCCTACCCTCTTCCCCCCTCCCCCGTTTTTTTTTTTTTCCAAATCTGCTGAATTGAGAATTGGTAGTGTAGCCTACCTAGGTGATAAAATGACTGTTTCCCTTGGTACAATAAACCTCAGGCAGCTTCCACTCTTTACTTCCCAAAATGGTTCTTTTGTTCTGAAAGCACAGATAGCTTTCCTATAGAAAAGCTACCTCAAAAAGCTGCCATGAGAACTTGGAAGTGGCAGTTTTCTGGGGTGGTTTGTCAATCCCAGTAAGAGACCAATATTTTACATGAGTATGATAGGAAATGCAAATCTGTGTTAATAATGTAGCATATCTTGTACATGAGCAAGCAAGAACAAGCAGACTGGCCGCAGGGCTCCTGGCCGGAGCATCAAACCATGTTAGTGTGTTTAAAGTTGTGTGGCTGAGAAAATTCATTTTTGAAAGGCATTTAATTTTTTACAAATACCTCTGAAAAGGTAATGCTACAAAAGGTACAAAAGTGGCACAGTATATAGGCTGGTTCCTGTTGCAAAAAATAAACAAACAAACAAACAAAAAACCTTGTAAAGCCATAAAATTAACTAATAGTTTTCAAGAGGTAGAAATTTAGTAGCAATAACAGTTTTGCATGTGTAGCGAGTGGCTTCAGCAGGGTTTGTAGAGTAAGTGATTGCTACCTGAGTTTGTGGAGTTCTCTGACCAATAGAATGGCACAGAAGGAAAAATGCTGTGGGCAAAGATCATATAAAAGGTACTTTGTTTTAAAACAGTGTGAATGTATATGGCTATGTAAATGTGTTAGAAAAATGAACTTCTGTTGGAGGCTGACCCGTTTTTCTAAAGCACAGGGTCAGAGCTGTTGCTGTGAACCCTTCCTGGAAATGTCCGGGCAGTCCCAGGGAATCCAACCCTCAGGCTTTTTCTTTCATATGTTCTCCATGCCATTTACTGTACGGTTCCTTTAATCTTTGTTCCTCGTCCTTCTCCCTGGGCTTCCAGGTTCACTTTCAGGAAGAAAGTGTGGGGTGTATGGGTTAAGGGTCAAAAATAAATGAACAATACACTTTTCCTCATGCTTATGAAGTTAGAATTTAAAGGTGAAAAGGAATAGCCAAAGACTTTTAACAGACTTTTTTAAAAACCTTTGTCTAATGCAGATGTACTGAAGCTTCTGGTCTATGACTGCTCATTCTTTATTTACTTATTTATGTTTTAACAAGCAAAACCTGGGAAACTACTTTTTCTTGATCTCTGGCATCACATATGACAGTGGAAAAGGCATGACCTCCTCTTTCTTTTGCATCATGTCCACACTGGCCATCGGCACCTTGAAGATCCAAGAAAAGGCTGGATCTCTGGGCCTTTAGTGTCCCAAGGGAAAAATCTCAAAAGTTGGTTAAATTGAAGAGTATCATGAATATTCAGTTACTAAAGGGGCAATTCCAGTAGACAGGAAAAAGTTTTAAATTGATTACAGCTCTTCTAAATGTCTTAACACTGTCAGTTGATGTTCAACATTGAAACAACAAAGCAATATTCAAGCATCTGCACAACCGGAGGAACATAACTGCACTCCCAAGTGATGGCAAAAATTGGGTTACCCTTAACAGCCATGGTGATAGTTCCAGTGCTAAATAAGACATGGCACAAGTTTTTGTAGATTTAGAGCATGTATTTAATTTTGGGAGCTGTGATCTCATGTTTACTTTTTATGTACCTATGATATGCAAAATATGAACAGACCCCCCGCCTCCAGGAGTTTACATTCTCATGGTGCTGTTGGTGCAAGCAAATTGCTTCTAGTTTTTTTTTTAGAACATTGCTTGGCTATTCGACCATATTTGGAAGGCTCCCCTGGCAGACAGTTGAAAAAGCAGAGGACTATACTAAATTTCAGGGCATTGATGTTTGCGTTTACATTGTATTGGCTCTGCTCTTCAGCAGTTCTCCCCCGCCCACCGTGAGCTGTGCAGGCAGTGCTGTGACTCAGAAGCCCATCCCGCCTAACGGCACCTTCACCACAGGCCACCTAGAGTAGAGCTCTCAGTGACTGGCCGTGGCTTTTCCTTTCCCACTGCTTTCACAACAGTCTTTGCCCAGGAGGGCCCCCATGATTTACATGTAAGCGTTTTATAACCCAACAGTGATCCTAATTTTAACCTTTTGGCTTGACTTGCACCTCTGCCGTGAAGCAGCATTTTGTGTTAGATATGAAGCATCGGCCTGCATTCCTAAGCAGTTACTTTACTTCAACTCCAATCTTCCATTGGCACTTTGCATGCATCCTTGTTATTTCCCATAACTCCTCTTGAACATGGGGTTTCTTTGCATGCTTATTACAACTGGATCTGGTTGAAAGTGCAAGTGAGTAGTGGCACTTTCAACTCTGATTTCACAGTACTAATATTCTAATGCATGAGTGAAAAATTCCAGTACTGTGTGGCTACTAGTAGTTTTATATATGCATTTCTTAATAATGATGAAGCAATAGACCTGAACCAATAGCTTAAATTTATTGTTTGTATCATTTTCATTTTCTAATCAAAGATTACCTTACTTCCACTGAAAATGGGAAGTAGAACAGGGGCAACCACAAGACATTCATACTAAACTAGCAGAGCATAATGATGCTCGCCCTCTAACCTCTTTTCTAGACTCAATAGTCCACACGCATGTTTCAAAATAAAAGGCACAAAGTAAGCATGTTGGATGAACACGCTGCTATAATATCAAAAAGGTGCAGGGTTTTCAGGGAGGGTGGGAAAGTAGGGAGTGTTAGTATGGCATGTATAGAATAGCTAGGTATGCAGTTTGTCTGAAAACATTTCTGTAGACTGAAATATCTCAGACGTGAACTGTCAGTACACACATATCCCCCACGCTGTGGCAGCTCTTGTGCATGGCTCTTGTCCTGACCCATTGTTCAGGATCCATGGTGCGAGGGAGACGATGCCATTCGGCAGAAATAGTCCTCAGAATGCCTGTACATCTAAGTTTTGCGTTTTCTAGTTACTGTATTTACATTTAAATATTTGTTTTAATAGCTAGAGTGTCATCTTTGATAGTTTTTTTGTCACAGATTTTGATCCTAGGTAAATAGAATATGGTTTTCCTACTTCAAAAAAAACAGAAAACCTTGTTTTAATGGGGAAAAAAATCAATTTATTGTTGTGGGTTAAAATTTTTCTGATAAAGTTGATGTTGAAAGAACCACAGGTGAAATTCCTACTGTCTGAATGGAGCCACCAGGGAATTCAGATCAGCCTAGGGGACCGTTGGACTGCTGGGCTTCTATGCTGGGAGAGGGAGAATACTATCTCCAAAATCATGTTCACTTGTTTGTGATATGAGATGTCTTGGTCAGCACCTCTAGCAAAGGTATCTGTCCATGATTTGGAATTAGACTTGTCTTTGTGAAGTTTGGTTTCTGTTCAGGTATAAGAAATGAGATGTATTTCCCACATAAAAATTTCTCTTTTGCCACTTACTGATAATGTGTCTTCCAGCCAGTAAAATTTAAGCTCAGAGTTAACTCTGTTCCCATTATTCCAGTGAAAGACATATTCAAATAAATATCAGGAAACCAAATTCTCACAGGTGATTTCCCCAGAGACCTCCACTAGAGCGAGAGTAGATAATCTTACGTTTACTATTCTCAGGTTTTGTCTCCTGTGGTGATGGAATATAATTGATATTAAAATATATCCTCCCACAGGTTAATAAAAGCTATTCTGGCAATGCATTATCTTCAAGCTTAATGTACTAGTTTTGGATCATACCTTAAAATAACACCTCATAGTAAAAACATGAAGACTATGGGAGTGACTTCACAATGTAGTTCCTTTTCCCCATGTATGAGATGCTCAGTGTGCTTGTTTTGTGTCGTCTCCTTTGCATCACTGGTATGTTAAAGAATTGCTTTGAATATGTTTGAAGTATTACAAAGGCAGCTTGCTTATTATCTATGCATTTTTGGGATTTCTGAAGGAGAAATTTTATTCTTTGATGTGAAAAGGAACTGTTGTAGAGTTGGAAACTCTGCACCTATGTGTTTGTATATATTTACTTCTTAGCAATAAAGCAGCATGGGCTGAGAATGCACTGAAACTTTTGTTGTTGTTGTTTATTAACTAATAGACAACATCAAGAAATGCAGATTGGTGAAAATGAAAGAAGCCTTTCCATGGACATGAGGAGAAATAGATATTTAAGAACAAAGTCATGAGTTTTTTGAAAACTTATTTGTGGCAGTTTCTGGTGTTACTGTTTGATGTGAAAAGAAATGCATGTGTTTAAATCGCCCTGTTTTACCATTAGGACCAACCTGTGAACAAGTATGCTTTGTGGTAAAGGGATAGTGAGATACTAAGCATAATGATGAAAGAACCATTCCAGCGACTCCTTCCCATCTGAAATGTAAAGCATCTTAAGATGCTATTGTATTTAATATGGAAGTATTGGTTTTGTCATAAATTCTCAGATGGCTGCAATGGTCAAAGCTGTGGCAGGGACCCAACCTCTCAGGCAGGGTGCTGGGAACTACCTGATATCTAAGTGGCATCTTAACCTCTAGGACAAATTCTGTCACCGCTCAACTTAATTTGATGCCAGTTCAAGCATTTAATTTTTAAAATTAATTTTCACTTGAAAAGTAGTTATTACAAAAAGAGACAGAATCATCCATCAGCTTGTTCACTCTAAGTGGCAGCAGCCTGAACTGGACCAGTCAGAAACCATAAACCAGCAGCTTCCTCTAGGTCTCCCACATGGTTGCCAGGGACCAAGAATTCCAGCCATCTTGCTGCTTTTCCAGGCCATAAGTGAAGAACTGGTTGGAAACACAGTGGTTGGGACCTGAATCAGTGCTCATTTGAGATACTAGAACCACAGGCAGATTAGCCACTATGCCATAGCACAAGTATCCTAAGCATGCATTTATTTGAAAGGCAGATTTCCAAAGAGCACATCTTCTGTTCACTGGCTCACTAAGATGGCCACAGTGGTCCATGAGTAGAGTTGAAACCAGGAGCTTCATTCTGCTGCCTTCCCAGGCACATTACCAGAGAGGTAGATTGGAAGCGAAGCAGACAAGACTGCAACTGATAGTGGCCCACAGGTGATGGCTAAGTCTCAAACCTGGTTTCCAAGCACTTAGTATTATACTGAAAGATCTCAAACAAGACCAACTCCACAGGTTAAAAACAGCTACAAAAGATCAACCTTTAAAATCAAATTAAGGGAGTATGTTCAGCTTGAAATAATCAGGAACTTTTTTTAAGATTAATTTATTTTTGTATTGGAAACTCAGACTAACAGAAGAGACAGAGAGGAAGATCTGTCTACTGGTTCGCTCCTCAAGTGGCCACAATGGTTTGAGCTGAGCTAATCCGAATCTAGGAGCTTCTTCCAGGCCTCCCATGTGGGTGCAGGGTCCCGAAGCTTTGTGCCACCCTCCATGCTCCCAGGCTATTAGCAGGGAAGGTGATGGGAAGTGGAGCACTTGGGACCTGAACTGGCACCCATATAGAATGCTGACAGTGTAGGTGGAGGCTTAGCCTATTATACTACACTGGCAGCCTCCAATGCTGAAATCTACCCAGCCACCTACTGTTTATTATGTGGTTATGACTTTCTGTCTCTTCAAACCCCTTAATACAGTTAGAACTTTACATGTCTATCTCTAATTAGATTATAAATTCGATTATAAATTCAGGATAGGCAGTAGCTGTCTTTCTCCTGAATCATTAGCCTAGTACCTTGTAAATATTAAATGATGTTTCAACAAGCTATATATGACCAAAGTGCTATATAAACATTTCATTGAATGATGTTTTATTTTATTACCATGTTAAGCTACGTTTACCACTGCTGACAAAGTCTACATTGTCCAGCAACTTATTAAATATCACGAACACCGTGTACTTTATTAAAAAAAAGTGATTTTCAGCAGTGCTCTCCACATACTCATCCACAGAAGGATATTGGGGTTTACCATGAACACCAGCTCCAATTTTAGATCAATCATGCTCCTTTGGTTCAAGGGGACACATGAGATATTGTTTTCTAATTCCTAAATAACAAAGCAAGATGTTTTCAGAGCTAAGTATCACGAAATTGATAGGAAATTGGCTAGGTTCTTAAAACAAATGGCCACGGAATATACATAGAAGGCTTTAGTCTTTCAGCTACAGAAGTCACTCAGAACATCAGCTTACAGGCACACAGCACATCCTGCCCCAGTGGTTCCTCAGAACTGACCAGATGGCACTGGTGGCTGAAGACCGTAGGGGGCCTAGACCCCATTCCCAAATCTTGGTTCTGTGTTGGTCCTGCTCTTGCTCTGTTCAGGAGCCGCCTGCTGCAGGGTCTTCACTAGGGAATGTAAGCGACTGTGTGTCAGCATGATCTTCTCTTTCAGCTGGGAAGACAAATGCATTAGGGTACCTTAGCTCAAGTCAGTCAGCTGATGTAAGAAAACATTAAGTTACCTCTAATGATAAAAACACATTTCTTTGGTCAGTGAAAGAATGTTATACAACATAGTGTGCAGGGAGATCCCCACATAGACTTAGATGCGAAAGGAGTCCAGTGGTTCCTGAGCATTGCCAATCTTGTGAACAAGTGGCAGCAAAAAGCTGTGGAAACAGAAGCAGCAGGGTAAGGCCCAAATCTTGGGACTTTGCACCCAGGTGAGAGACCTGGATAAAGCTCCTGGCTGTGGAAGATCTCTGTCTCCTTCTCTATAAATACGCCTTTCCAATAAAAACAAAGGTTAGGGCTTAGCACATTAGCCTAGCAGCTGAAGTTATCATATAGCACATGCCAGGATCCCATACGGGCACTGGTTCTAATCCTGACACCCGTGCTTCCTAGCCACTCCCTGTTTGTAGCCTGGGAAAGCAGTAGAGGATGGTACAAAGCTTTTAGACCCTGCACCTGCATGGGAGACCCAGAAGAGGTTCCTGGTTCCTGGTTCCTGGCTTCACACTGGCACAGCTCGAGGCTTTGTGGTCGCTTAGGGAGTGAATCTTTAGACAGAAGATCTTACTCTGTCTCTCCTCCTCTCTGTATATCTGACTTTCCAAGAAAAATAAATAAATCTTAAAAAAAAGAAAGAGTAATAATCTGGGCCTGGCGGAGAGCTTAGCAGCTAAAGTCCTCGTCTCACATGCCCAGGATCCCATATGGGCACTAGTTCTATGCCCCACGGCCCCACTTCCCATCTAGCTCCCTGCTTGTGGCCTGGGAAAGCAGTCGAGAATGACCCAAAACCTTGGGACTCTGCACCCGCGTCGGAGACCTGGCCATTGCAGCCATCTGGGGAGTGAATCATTGGATGGAAGATCTTCCTCTCTGTCTTTCCTCCTCTCTGTATATATGACTCTCCAATAAAAATAAATCTTTTTAAAAAAAAAAAATTCGAAAGTTTCAAAAGACTCAACATTAAGTCAAAGGAAAAACACTATTGCAGAGTTCCTATGGGCGGCCCTTAGACCTACTTCCCCATGCTGTTTCTGTGCAGAGCACGCCTGGGTTCTCGGCTTTCAGTGTGCCTCCTTCCCAGGCAGAATCCCTACGCTTCTGCTCCCAAGCTGGGTGGCAGGGACAGTCTCATGGAGTGCCACTCCTGCTTTAGCCTCTCCTAGGATGGACTTCCCATGATCCAAGCCAGCCAGTAACAGGGTGTTCAAGCCCAACCTGTTCAAACGGCCTGTTGCCCATTTTAGTGAACCAAGTGCCAAGCCTATTTTTTTTTAAGTGGAAAGGCAGATAGAGAAAGAGAATGCTTTTTTGTCTGCTGGTTCATTCCCCAGTGGCTGCAGTGGCCAAAACTAAACTGATCCAGAGCCAGGAGATTCCTCCAAGCCTCCCACACAGGTGCAGGGTCCCAAGGCTTTGGGCTGCCCTGGACTGCTTTCCCAGGCCACAGGCAGGGAGCTGGAAGGGAAGCGGAGCAGCCAGGTCATGAACCGGCGCCCATATGGGATCCCGGACATGCAATGCAAGGATTTGCTACTAGGCTATTGGGCTGGACCCAGCCATGCCCATTAGTTTATGGATTACCTGTGGCTGCTCTTGCACTAGAGTGGCACAGTAGGGTAATTCAGAACATTGGTCAAAAAGCTTAAAATATTTGTTATCTGGCCCTTTACAGGAAAAGTTGCCTACTCCTGGCTTGAAACATGGCCTCAAAAGTATAATGAGCTTTGAAAAAAAATAAGCTTTTAAATAATTGTTATCTTTCCTTAACATTACTCCTACTGAAAAATGAAATGTCACTGGTTACTGATGTGTAATTAGCAAATGATGAATACCTCTAAGCACAAAACCAACAATTTGTTCTTCTGAGGAAGGTTAAGGCATTTCACCAGAATGAATGAGCAAGCTATTCAAAACAAGCTGTTTTATTAAACTCCAAAACATCTACCAATTCCAAAGCCCATTTAAACTGTCTTACCACTTTTCTGAGAGACAAATAGCAAAACTTGGTCCAAAAGGGTGATGCTCTCTCCTAGCACAGCGGAGGAAGCAGGAATGTAGTGCTTACACACATATCCAGCACTCCAACTTACCTAACAACATGGCTCATGTGTTAAAGGAGTTCTACAACCATGCTGAAATTTACCTCTGCAATCTTCTCTGCCAAGGGCATATTGTGAAAATCCATCTCAGATGCATCCACTATGGCTTTTGTTTTCAGGAGATAGCTAGACAGGAAACAAGAAATATCAATGCTTCTGTCTGCTGTGGTCCACTCCCCAAATGACTGCAATGGTCAGGGCTGGAACAGGCCCGGTGCCTGGAGCTTCTTCCTGTTCTCCCATGTGATTGCAGGGGACCATGGACTTGGGGCCATCCTCCACCACTTTCCCTAGCCATAAGAAGGGACCTGGATTGGAAGTAGAGTAGCCAGGACTCAAACCAGCGTCTATATGGGATGCTGGCATTGGAGTGGAGGCTTCACTTGTTACACCACAATGCCACCCCCAATATCCTCTTTTTTGTTGGGGTTACAGTAACTATCGCTCAAGGAGCCCAACTGCCCACAAGGAAAGGCCACAAGAGCCACAGAGATGCTGACCCTGAACCCTGTCTCAGCTGAGGTGCTAAGAGACACATGGCGTGCCGGCCAGCCCCACCCTGTACTGAGAACCAGTGAGTCAGTTTATTTATTGGGCACAGAATCTTCCCTGACTCATTTTAAAGATTAAGAAATTCGAGTTTATTCCACTAACAAGAACTCAAGTTACAGCTCTTTTGGGCTATCTGTTTCCAAAATAGTAACATACATTTAAAGATTTCTTTTTTCCTCTTTAAACTTAGCTATAAACAAAATTTTTGAAATTAAAAATAAAATATCACTCCAAGTCAAGTATGTACTTGCTGTTAGAAATATGCAATGAAGGGTCTGGTGTGGTGGCACAGCAGTCTATTCTACCACCCTGTGGCTCTGCCATCCCCTGTGGGTACCAATTGGTGTCCCGGCTGCTCCACTTCTGACCTAGCTCTCTACTTATGGCCTGGGAAAGCAGCAGAAGATAGTGCAACTCCTTGGACCCCTGCAGTCACATGGAAGACCTACAGGAAGCTCCAGGCTCCTGATAGACACAACTTTGGCTATCATGGAGTGAGCCAGCAGAAGGACGCTCTCTCTGTCTCTCCCTCTTTTTTCTTTCTTTAAGATTTATTTATTTTTATTGGAATGGCAGATTTACAGAGAGCAGGAGAAACAAAGATCTTTTGTCTGTTGCCTAGTTCACTCTACAAGAGGCCACAACTGCTGGAGTCAGGAGCCAGGAGCTTCTTCTGCGTCTCCCACATGGGTACAGGGGCCCAAGGCTTTGGGCCGTCCTCCACTGTTTTCCCAGGTCACAAGGAGGGAGTTGAATGCGAAGTGGGGAAGCTGGGATATGACCCAGTGTCCACATAGGATCCTGGCAGTTGCAAGTGAGGATTTTGCCACTTTGGCCCTTTCTGTGTAATTCTGACTTTCAAGAATAAGAAATAAGTCTGTAAAACAAAAAGAAAAAAATGTATAAAAGCTTTTACAAGTAAAAGCTTACCTTCCAGAAATTTTCCAATAAAACAGTATACGCTGAATTATTCCTTAGTATGACTATTAATCCATGTTATGACTAGAAGATACATAAATGAATTGTGTTCTCAAGGGCATTTTTGGTTCACCTGCTACCTTAAAAAAAATTATTTGTCCTAGACACATTAGCAGGCAACTGGATCAGAAGCAGAGTAGCAGGGTTCCAAATCAGCATTCAGATATGCAATGTTTGCAATGCAAGGGATGACCCCAACTTTAAGACACAGTGGCTGGCTTTAGCATCTTCTTGGATACACACAGTTACTTACCACACCATTTTGTCACTGGAAAGGCAGAAATGACCTCTCAGGGCAGCCAGGGCAGCATATGTAGAATAGAGATGGAAACCAATGGGAATCCCACAGGAATTACAGAACAAAAGGTTGTAAATACTAAGGGAAATAAAACAGAATATGAGTAAGAAACATTCTTAGTGGATGTGTAATAGTTAACTAGTCTCATGGGACACTGCTGTCACCTAAGACAGGTGAGGGGTTGGCGCTGTGGCACAACAGTTAAAGATGCTGACTATGCTGCCAATTTCCCCATATTCTGCACTGGTTTGAGTCCTGGCTTCCAATCTGATTTCCTGCTTATGGTCTGCAAAAGTGGTGGAGGCTGACCCAAATCCTTGGGCCCCTGCACCAAGTTGGGAGACCCAGAGGAAGTTTCTGACTTCTATGTGGATGGAAGATCTCTTTGTCTCCCCCACCTCCTGTAACTTTGATTCCCAAGTAAATATAAAATCTTACCAACCCCCCCAAAAAAGAGAAAAAAGCGCTAAAGTACCATTTCATAACACTACACAGGTCCTATAGCTTTTTTTTTTTTTTAATTGGAAAGGCAGATGTATAGTGAGAAGGAGAGACAGAGAAAGATCTTCCATCTGCTGGTTCACTCCCGAAGTGGCCACAACAGTCAGAGCTGAACCGATCTGCAGCCAGCAGCCACCTCCTGGTGTCCCATGGGAGTGCAGGGTCCCAAGGCATTGAGCCATTCTGCTTTCCCAGACCACAAGCAGGGAGCTGGATGGGAAATGGAACAACTTGGGAAAAAAAATGTCACCCATATGAGATCCCAGCATGTACAAGGTGAAGATTTAGCCACTGAGCTATCTGGGCCTCCCACAGCTTTTTCTAGTCTACAAATAAACAGTTGAGACTTTTCTTGCCAACATTTTACAAACCATCTAGAATAGTATTATCCTACAGGAATAGGACATGAGATGTATGTCATTACTTTCACATGCCTTATTATTTATTTTACTTGTCTGAAATGCAGTGGGACAAGCAGATTTCTCCCATTGGTTCACTCCTCAAGTGCCTGCCAACAGCTGGGGCTGGGCCAGGCTGAAGTTGTGACCCAAGTACTGCAGCTATCATCTGCTTCCTCCCAGGGTCACATTAACAAAAAGCTGGCCAGGAAACAGAGCTGGGAGTGAAAGCCAGTGGCTTCACACTGGGAAACAGGCACTTTACCTGCTGTCTAAACCCACCCAATCATTTTCAAAAATTAAAAAAAAAAAACAAACTGGAAACAGGGAAAAATCAGTTTTAAAATATTTTAGGTGATTCAATAGATAATTTTCTATACCAGCTCTTTCAAATGTGGTGTGTTATCTGCACTCGCAGCATCATTCCCAATTTGAATGGCTTACACTTTAACAGATACAGTACCTACCAATGACCTTACTGGACAGCTCAAGGCTAGATACATTATTCTCATCTTTCCAAGGAGCACTGGACAACAGCAAGGATGCCACTATGCTGAGTTTGCTATATTCCAAAATTCTCCTGGGATTAAAGCAATTAGCAACCCCTACACTTGAACTGAACTGGTCCAAATGAACTGTCTTGCGTGAAAGCTGACAGTCACGATGTAGAAAATATATAACCCAAATTCACTGAGTATTTTATCACTATCTGTGAATCACAGTCCAGCCAGGTACAAGGCTGATTACGCAGTACTGAAGTACAAACATTCAGCCTGTGTTCCCCTCCCAGTTTCTGGGGTGACTGAATTCCACCGCCCAACCAGTTCATTGTCCACTCCATGTTAAAAGCAAATGATGGCATGTAGCAGTCAGCTGTTCTGACTGTAAGTGCTTAGCTTGCGGTCTCCATTTTCCTTGCATTTCACACGTGCATGCCACTTAGGGACAGGTAGCCCTAGAAAGATCTCCAGTCTCACACAGTAATGCAATGTTCCCACGACTGGGTACAAGCAGCCTCATATCCTGAACGGATACTGCGGGCCCAGCCCACACTTTGCCTGTAGCCAAGAAACAAACTTTTCCAGGCAAGTGTCAACTCCGCACCGCTCAGCCTCCTCCAGTCAGGAAGCCGGGGGGCGGGGCCGCCACAATGGGCACCTACCTCAGTTTCAGCGCCCCTTCGATACCCACTAGCAACGGCTTTTCCAAAACCACGTTGTTGGTGACTCCTAGGAAGGTAAACGCTGGTCAGAATCGCTACCTCCGAGGGCCTCGAACAGGGGGAAATAAATAAATAAATAGATAGATAGACAGATACACATCTGCCTCCTGGACAGAGTAGACACGGCCACAGCAATGAACAGCAAACCTCTGGCGGCCCCCAGCCCCACTCACTGGAGAAGGCCACGGCCCCGAGGGACCGCGACAGGTCCCAGGCGAGGTGCACCGAGTCGGCGAGCACCGCGTAGCACTGCGCGCACTGGAACACGGCGCACCTCTCGGGCCGCAGCCACGCAGGCATCCGCGGGCCGGCGGCCGGCTCCTCCGACCCCCGGCCCGCAGGCCCGAGCGGCGAGGACCCGTCCACCACCTGCGTGTCCCACTCCATGGAAGCTAAAGAAGCTTCGTCGGTCGCCTCCTTAGCGGTATCATACGAGTCACAGCGGAGAGGTTTTGCCTTGTGGGAACGCAGCGACCACCGCCCAGCGGCCATCTTCCTGAATCCCGCGCCTCGGATCCGAAAACGCACCAGGCCCCGCCCCAGGCGTGGATGCTGCGTCCTCATTGGACGGCGATCAGCCGGGGCTTTGCCCGCGCCCTGGCTGGCCCTGGCACGCCTGTGGGCTTCTCGGCGCCGGCGTCTTGTGGGGACGAGGGGTGGAGCGAATGATTGTCGATATAACATTCAGCCTTTCTATTGGCCAGTGTCAGAAAACCCCGCCTTCGAGACGGCTTCAACCAATGGGAGTGCACCGTCCATCATTTAAACTAGATATAAACTTCTGTTTGGTCAACGATTAACCGGGCGCCAGTTTTGAACGGTGCTCGTCTGGTGTGGACGTCCGTCTTGTGTCGTCTTGTGTTTGTCGCTGGGGTTACGGCTGAAGATGACGGTCCCTTCTCCGGAGGAGTTGGACTCCTTCAAGTACAGTGACCTGCAGAATTTAGCCAAGAGTCTGGGGCTCCGGGCTAACCTGAAGGTACGGGGCCGGCGGGTCCGCGGGCGGGCTGGGTGGAGGGATGGAGGAACCGCGGGCGCCCCGCCCCGCGGCCTTGGATTCACTCCGCGGTGGTCACAGAACTCCGAGAAACGGATCCAGACGCGTCGTTTTGCTTTTTGTTGAAAGTATTCTTAATAATGTCTAAAACGCAGGGCAGAATGCCTTCACTTACATCAGCATCGTGATTAGGCAACTGAAGAATAATTGGGTTGACTTCTAGAAAAACTCCTGGTTGTAACGCACAGCGGCTGCAGTGTTTTGATAATCCTTATTAGGGGACTCACTCGGTGCACAGATTTCTGTAACTCGGCCTTTATTCTAGTGTGAAGATTCACTCGCTGATCACTGATGCTCCTCTTATAAACCCGCAAAGGCCTTTCCAGGCTGTAGGACTTTGAGGAAGACGTTTAACCTTGGATATCTTTGCGGAGACCCGGTGGTCAATGAGGTGTTGGACGGAATGTGGGGATTCTATGGAGGCCTGGAGTTGTGTTAATTCGGCATATTGCTCTCAAAATACTAACGTATATTCTCGGGATATATATGGTGAACAGGTTGGTTATTTCCCAGAATGAAGGTCTTCATCGGTTATCACAAGAATTTTTAAAGCGTTAACTCAACAGGCACCCGTTGGGGCTCAGTTACCAATGAGTGTCCGTTTAGCTGGCCTCTCCTCTAGTTGAGGGACAAAGTGCCCCTCTTGGGTTTTTTTCTTTGTTTGTTGTTTGCTGTCTGGCTGGGAGCTTCTGTGTGTGGGGCTGCACTCCTGAATGCCTGGTCCCTTAGTCCATCTTTTCTGTCATTCTGACACTTTGTTTTAGATCCCCTTGTCACTTTTTAACATTTATTTATTTTTTTAAAAGATTTGTTTGTTTATTCATTTATTTATTTGAAAGTCACATTTACAGAAAGAGAGAAAGAAAGATCTTCTGTCCACTGTTTAACTCCCCAAATGACCACAACAGCCAGAGTTGAGCCAATCCAAAGCCAGGAGCCAGGAGCTTCCTCTGGGTTTCCCATACACATGTGCAGGGTCCCATGGCTTTGGGCCGTCCTCTGCTGCTTTCCCAGGCCACAGCAGAGAACTAGATAGGAAGTAGAGCTTGATCAATTCCCAGTGCTGACCATCAGGCTCTTCCTGGCTCCATAAGAGGCACCTGCCCACAGCAAAGCACTCCTGATTCCTCCATGGCCAGCTTCCTAGTCATGCAGGTTCCTGTCAGCCAGGCGCAGGGTTGGATTGCATTCCAGGCTCCTGACTTTAACCTTGCCCAGCTCTAGTTATTGAAGCATTTGGAAAATGAACCTACAGATGGAAAATCCCTTTGTCTTTGTGTAGTCTTTCTCAGTATCTGATCTTTCAAACAACAACAACAACAAAAATAATAATAAAATAAAAGCAAAACTAGAACTCTTAGCCAAAAATACTTGTTGGGCTGGTGTGATAACCTAGCAGCTAAAATCCTTGCCTTGAATGCACCAGGATCCTATATGGACACCAGTTCTAATCCTGGCAGCCCCGCTTCCCATTCAGCTCTGTGCCTGTGGCCTGGAAAGCAGTTGAAGATGGTCCAAAGCCTTGGGAACCTGCACCACGTGGGAGACCTGGAAGAGGCTCACAGCTCCTGGCTTCAGATTAGCTTATCTCCAGCCATTGCAGTCACATGGGGAGTGAACCATGGGGATGACATGGGGATGGAAGATCTTTCTCCCTATCTCTCCTTCTCTCTGTAAATCGACTTTCCAATAAATAAATAAATAAATCTTTTTTTATATTAAAGGTAGATTTACAGAGAAATGGAAAGACAGAGCTTCCATTCACTGATTTAATTCCTAGAGCTGGGCAGGTTAGAAGCCAAGAGCCAAGAGCTTCTTCTGGGTCTCCCATGTGGGTGCAAGGCCTCAAGCACTTGGGCCATCATCTCCTGCTTTCCCAGAAAAGCAGCTGTATTAGGAAGCTGGATCTAAATGGAACAGCTGGGACTCGAACAAGACTCATATGGAATGCCAACACCAAAATAGCAGTTTAACCTGCTACACCAAGGTACCAGCCCCTGGTGGGTTTTTTGTTTTTACTTTTTTCTTTACCTTAATATTTATTTATCTGATGGGACCAGTGTACTTGCTCAGTAAGATAATGCCCTGCTCTGTGGCTCTGGCATCCCATATGGGTGCTACCTGTTGTAGTCATCTGGGAAGTAAACCATTAGATAAAAACCTTTTCTCTATCTCTCCTTCTCTCTCTGTAAAATCTGCCTTTCAAGTAAATAAATTTATTTGTCTGGAAGGCAGATTTACAGAGAGGAGAGACAGAGGTCTTATATCCATGGGTTTATATACAACAAGCCGAGCAAAGGTAATTCAGAGCCTGAAGCCAGGAATTCCAGACAGTTCTTCCACCTAGGTGGCAGGGGCCCAAATACTCACGGTGCCTCAGCACCAGCTATTCAGAACATCTTATTTACTTTTTTATTTTTATTTTTAAATAGATTTATTTATTTAGTTTTTATTGGCAAGTGAGATATACAAAGAGGAAGACCTTCTGTCCGATGATTGACTCCGCAACCAGCTGCAAAGGCCAGATCTGAGCTGACCTGAAGCCAGGAGCAATGAACATCTGAGTCTCCCATGTGGGTGCAGGGTCCCAAGGCTTTGGGCCGTTCTTGACTGCTTTCCCGGGCCACAAGCTGGGAGCTGGGAAGTGGGGCTGCAAGGATTAGAACCGGCGCCCTTATGGGATCCCAGAGCATTCAAGGCAAAGACTTTAATCACTACACTAGCATGCCGGGCCCCTATTTTTATTTTGAATTTTGAATTTTATGGTACAATTCTGTAAAGTCTGGGATTCCCCCCACCAAACTCCCACCCCCGACTGATTTTCCCATATTGTTACAATACAGAACATCTCTTTTAAATGGCATATCTACCAGGCACCAAAATTGGAAATTCAACTGGATCGTTTTCTCTACAATCCAGGATGGAAACTAAATCTTGGCTTGGTACAGAGAGGAATTGCCACTTCAGAAGTGGATTTGGCCACTCAAATAAATAAAAAAGGTCCTGGCACGGTAACCTAGCAACCAGAGTCCTTGCTTTGCACATGCCAGGATCTTATATGGGCGCCGGTTCTAGTCCCAGCAGCCCTGCTTCCCATCCGGCTCCCTGCCTGTGGCCTGGGAAGGCAGTCGAGGACGGCCCAAAGCTTTGGGACCCTGCACCCGCATGGGAGACCCAGAGGAGGCTCCTGGCTTCGGACGAGTCAGCTCGGTGAATCAGCAGATAGAAGACCTTTTCCTGTTTCTTCTTTTCTCTGTAAATCTGACTTTCCAACACAAAGAAATAGATCTTAAAAAAAAAAAAAAGAGCCCTATTTGTGAGCCATTTGTTCTATTTAAAGCAACCTATAAAACTAAGTATGTTAATTATTTTAAAAAATTAAGTGGAAAGAATTATAAGACCATCATTTCTCAGTCTTTTGGCTAAGATCAAGTGTAAATATGATGAGACCATGAGAGAGAATCTAAGTTGCCTGGTATGGTAGCCTAGTGGCTAAAATCTTGCTCGGATTGGCTCAACTCCAGCCGTTACAACCACTTGGGGAGTGAATAAGCAGATAAAGACCTTTTTCTGTTTCTTCTTCTCTGTAAATCTGACTTTCCAATACAAATGAATAAAATCTTTTAAAAAAATGAAAAAAATTAGAAATAGGTATAAAAGAAAAAATAACTAGGAAAGGAAAGAAAACTTGAAAGAAATAAAATTTAGGGCCTGGTGATGTGGCCTAGCAGCTAAAGTCCTCGCCTTGAACGCACCCGGATCCCATATGGGCACCAGTTCTAATCCCAGGCAGCTCCACTTCCCATCCAGCTCCCTGCTTGTGGCCTGGGAAAGCAGTCGAGGACAGTCCAAAGCCTTGGGACCCTGCACCTGTGTAGGATACCGGGGAGAAGTTCCTGGATCCTGGCTTCGGATCGGCATAGCATCGGCCGTTGCACTCACTTGGGGGAGTGAACCATCAGAAGAAAGATCTTCCTCTCTGTCTCTCCTCCTCTCTGTATATCTGACTTTCCAATAAATAAATAAATCTTAAAAAAAAAAAAAAGAAATAAAATTTAGGGGAGAATAAAAGCAAAGACGGAGAGAAATCAAGAGATAGAGGCAAGGAAGGAAAAAGAACTCCCAAATGGAGTTGAGGGACCCTGGCTGCAGGCTGGCCTGCCCTGGTGACTGCAGGCATTCAGGGCCTGAACCAGTGCATGGAAGATCTCTCACTCTCAGCCTCCCTAATGACTGAAAACACAGCAGCACCTGGCGGCTACCCGGCATTGAAAGGGCCAGCTCCGACCCAGCGCTGCACAGCCTAGTGGAAGAGGAAACACAAAAGCCCACCGATAGACTCTTGGCCTCTGAAATCACAGGAAAATACCAGCGGTCAGGTTAGTAGGCTCTCAGGACAGATCGAGATTTCCTGGGGGGAAACAAGTCTTCTGCC